TCCTATGTTGCTTATTTAGACAAATGAAATAATGCTTCCTATATTACTTATTTAAACAAATGAAATAGTGCTTCCTATGTTGCTTATTTAGACAAATGAAATAATGCTTCCTATATTGCTTATTTAAACAAATGAAATAATGCTTCCTATATTGCTTATTTAAACAAATGAAATAATGATTCCTATATTACTTATTTAAGCAAATGAAATAATGCTTCCTATATTGCTTATTTAGACAAATGAAATAATGCTTCCTATATTGCTTATTTAGACAAATGAAATAATGCTTCCTATATTGCTTATTTAGACAAATGAAATAATGATTCCTATATTACTTATTTAAGCAAATGAAATAATGATTCCTATATTACTTATTTAAGCAAATGAAATAATGCTTCCTATATTACTTATTTAGACAAATGAAATAATGCTTCCTATATTGCTTATTTAGACAAGTGAAATAATGCTTCCTATATTGCTTATTTAGACAAATGAAATAATGCTTCCTATATTGCTTATTTCAACAAATGAAATAATGATTCCTATATTACTTATTTAGACAAATGAAATAATGCTTCCTATATTACTTATTTAAACAAATGGCATTATTTCATTTGTTTAAATAAGCAATATAGGAAGCATTATTTGAAATAAGTAATATAGGAAAGACAAATGAAATAATGATTCCTATATTACTTATTTAGACAAATGAAATAATGCTTCCTATATTACTTATTTAAACAAAATAAAGTGATTTCTCTATATTTTGTATCAGTTGCGGCAGTTTCAATGTAACTGAAACTTTGCATACAAGAAACTGCTCTCCCCCCCCCCTTCAGTGGCACGACGGTATATCTGCGGACTTATAACGCTAGAATCCGGGTTTCGATACCCGTTGTGGCCAGAGCTTTGTGCTTAATTACAAACAAACAAATCTTTATCGTGTCTGAGAAAAAAAATTATGTTATTTATAAATCTTAAATGCTATAACTTGTCTTATACTTTATAAGATAAATTATTGATTACATTTTATTACGCTTATGACTCCTTTGAAAAGCATGACCTAGTAAATAAACAACGAATTTCTTGTAAGTATCGCTAAATTTATTAAAGTGAAAGCTTTCGAGATAAGCATGGTCAGAAACTTTTATACAGTATTCCAATATGACATGGGTGCCCACAGAAATATTTTCGTGGGGAGGGGGGCAGAACATGTATGTAGGGGCTCAGCTTTTACAATGTAAGTCAACAGACTAAAATAATACATTATGTGTGCTTGAATTCAAACGCTAAGTTACAGTTTCAATAAACATTACTAACCACATTTAGTTTTACTACGATGTTAAGTTTACATCATAATACGTACAAGAGGGGTGGGGCAAATTCCCCCTCTTACGCTTTCCTTCGGGGCAACATTGTGTCTTTTGATTTACTATCTTGTTTCTTAAATATTTTTCATGTAACCTCAGACCAGCGCCCTCTGACGAGGATCATTAGTGTTATTTAATTCCTTTTTTGTTGTTGTTATAGTTGATGGATGTTTAATATGTGTTAAATACATTTATCGCGTTTTAAAGTAATTTTTCTCCTTTTGATTTTAAGCTAATTTTGTGTAGATAGATAAGTGCGTCTTAAATATATTTACAAATATAGTTTATGCTATTAAACATCGATCCTACGCCCCCTACTGGTGGATGGCTAGTAGGTATTTAATGTGACAAGTAAATTTATCACGTTACAAGGTAATTTTCCCTTTTTATTTTGAGCTGATATATATATATATATATATATAGCTTTATACTATTAAGTATCGATCCTGTCGCCATCTGCTGGTGGTTTAATATGTGTTAAACAATTCGTGCTTCAACGTAGCATTTCTCTCTATATCAAGCTGATTTTATGTAGATAGATAAATGCGTTTTAAATATACTTGTAAATATAGTTTTATACTATTAAATACCGAGCCCCCGGACGTACAACACTAAAACCCGGAGTTCGATTTCCCTTAGTTGACAAGTGCGGATATTGTGTAACTTTACAACAAAACAAACAAAACGATTAAAATATCGGTCCTGTAATAGTTTCTAACGAATGAAGGATCCACGTTCGTCCAAAGCTACGAAAACAATTGCCC